TTGAGCACAATCGGCCCAGTCGTTCTCGAGATCTGGAAGCGGCACCCTGCACGTGCGCACGTGCAAAATGGGTCCCAACTGACTTGTGCATGGCACCCTACTAACTGGTCCCTAACCGTGTACCAAATTTGAGCGCCATCGGTCCAGCCGTTCTCGAGATCTGGAAACGCCCCCTGCACGTGCGCACGTGCAGCAGCACCCCAACTCTGGCACATGGATATGCAGTGCCTAGTGGGTGCCTACCTACATGCCAACTTTCAGCGCAATCGGCCAAGTAGTTACCGAGATATTGCAACAATTACAAAACTGACACCTCTTCGTTTTGCACGTGGCACGTGCATAAGGGGTCACCCACATGCATCGGGAATAGTCCAATACTTGGTAGAAGGAATGAAGCTACCCTACAAAAATTACCGCGTGTAAATCGGTCAAGTGGTTGCTGAGATATAAGCCTCGCAAAAGCGTCCGCACGGCCGGGCTCATACTCAGAAATTTCCGTTAATCTAAGTAAAGATTCCGCTCGCTTCGCTCGCTCCGTAACCATAAAAGGTTTTGAAAATTTCACCGAAAGTCAAGGTTATGACCGGTCCGGAAAAGGTCATGCTGCGTCGATCCGTCCTAGTCGATCCGTATCGTAGGCCTGAACACATCGAAGGTGTTCATCGCTCATTAGCATGTCCCTACTCCCTATCAATTGTAAAAACTGCCAGAGACCTTTCATGACCTGAAATGACCTCATGGATGTAGAGAGGGGTCACAGGTGCAATTCCCGATTCTGTATCATTTATGTTTTATGTTCACCTGTAACTTGTCCTTTGAAGGGGAGTTTGGTTTGACATTCATCCAAAAGAGGTGCATTTCAATTTGCATCCATTGACATACCAATATAATGCAAAGGTCGCAAAATCATGCCTAACCCTAGGTAACATCAAAATTCCACATTTTTAACCTTGACGCGACCTTGTGACCTGACCTTGGAATAACTCCTCATGGACTAACTGCAGTAGTCTAGCATGCTACCTCACAAAACGTGTCTCAAATCGTTTCATTTGAATTCATATAATCAAGTAAAGTAACCTTACTACTTACTAGCATAATAAATATAAAAATCGCAAGAAAAAGGCAAGATGATTCCGAGGAGCCGTATTCAACTCGCTCTTAAGACTTTTCGGAATTATCAGGTCTTTTCTTACGATTCTTCACACTGATTATGGGAGTAAGGTTACTTTTCTTGATTATAGGTATGATGATTAACCCGGCAGGCGGTGGGTCTCCCGTCCACCTTCCGCGCGGTGGGGGGGGGCATTTCCCCCCCTTATCTCTGAAACTACTGGACGGGTCCGTAAAATTCAAACGGCGTTCGATACCCCTGTCAAATTAGTTGAAGGAAGCCAAATTTCATTGACCTCGGGGTCACCAATGACGTCACAGGTCAGGTCAAAGATAAAATGTTTCACCGTTCACGGGTCTTCTAGGGAATGCGCTATAACATCGAGTAAAACGCATTTTGTCGAAAATCAGCGATAGGACGTCAGTTGCCTAAAACATATGTTGCTATTAGAGGTCACTGATAATACCAGGTCAGGTCACAGGTCAGATCACCAAGGGTCAGCACATGAACCCAACTTTACTAAGGTTGTGCGATGCATGTTTTATGGCCAATTTTTCATTTCCAACTCAGTGGTGTTGGTTATAAGACCATCAGGTACGGTTAAGGTCACTTTCTGGTGGAGGTCAGGTCAAGGTCAGGTCAAAAAGGTCAAATTTCAAAGTTGATAGTTTTGCATAAAATGGGTATTGATTCGATGCAACTCGTCACGGGGAGTCTAATGGTGGTCTTTGTTTTGCGCTGCAAGGTCTAGAATTGCTAAAAATTGAGTTTGAAAATTTAACGTCATCAATTTTGAACAGTTTTTTCGCTATAACTTGGCCAAAAAGAGAGGTATCGATCTCAAATTTGGTATGTGGATAGACGGCGGTAAGGACTATCACACATGTTCCGGTTTTTCTCGAAATTCAAAAAAGAACTTTTTTGATTTTTCGGCTTTTATATTCAAAAAATATATTTTTTATTTTTGGAGTCCAAATCCAAAAAATAAAAAATCCGACATAGCAGTTTTACAGCTCTGTTAATTTTATACCTTTTATGTAAAAATAAACATTTTTCTATATCTCTAAAGCTGTAGGCCTGACACAGCTCTTCCCGCGAAACCTTTTTTTGGTCCAAAATGGCAAAAATGACGTTACTCCGACATCATTAACGGCCAACCTATCATAGCCTTTGGAAAAAATTGGTCACAATGTGCAAAAGCTATTCACGGGAGGGTACTGAAAGTTTGGTGACGATCGGCGCAGCGGTTCTGGAGATATATCGAGAAAAAAAACTAAAGGTGGGCAAAAAATGCCCTCCCCCACCGCCTGCAAGGTTAAGCATGTCCCTCAAAACAGCGCCAACTACAATTTATTTTTAGTCAATGCAGTTATGCTTTTAGCTTGTCACTTGTGGCTGACCTGTAACCTGATCTGTGACATTATCGATGATCTCGAGGTCAACAAAATTCGACTTCGCTCGACAGTGTTTCTGGGGCTATCAAACGCTGTTACAATTTCGACAATCGAACCATTAATTTCGGAGATACAGGTATTAAGTGGTTGGTTGCCAACATCACAATAATCGATCTGCATTGATGAATACGTCTAATGGCTGTTGAAAACCACTGCCGAAATGTGTGTACGAACCCTCTTCTCACTTCTATTGAGTCATTTTACAGGAGTACCTATCTCTGTCATTTGAAGTTATTACACCAAAAGCACATAGGCTAACCAATCACTCTTTTGCTGGAGGGCCGTACATATGTAGAAGTAGGTAGGTATACATATGTAGGAGGGGGTAGGTACTGCATGTAGATTGTAGAGCCCCTCCTCTTGGTCAATCGCGTTTTGCAATATAACCTGCCATGCGCTGGTTAATGGGATAGGTTTATAATCTATTATAATTGGTGTTTTGCGAGGTCCACAAATCACTGATACCTTAATGATACGGCTAAAAGTGCCCGAGCGGGAGGGAGGGGAGGGAGGCGATAGCTGTTGACCGGCAACACGAACTGCTCAGCAGGCGATTGGTTACGATGCAATGTTTGAACATGGGCCCCAAAGTTCACATTCGCCTTTCTTTTTGGGAGGGGAATTTCATATCAGACTGCCAAGGTTCTTGGGAGATTTAAGCCCCGTGATCCCATGGGATGCTACCCAGTTAGGAAATATGCAGTTAAAATATATGAAATATGTACCAAGTTCCACTCCAAGGCTGCTTGAAATGCATTGCAGGTGTAGCTGGTAGCATACCATTACCGACATAAAATGAGGTCGGGTCATGAAATTAGGTGAAAAGTTGTTTTCAGCGGAAAATGCGGGACGCCGCGAACCTTTAATCAATCAGCCGTTTGGTGAAAATTCAAAATACCTACCCTATACAGGCGGTGACGCGGTGTACCCACTCCATGAGTACCTAACTAGAAGAGCGACACTGGGTAAGCGACACTGCTACAGCGGCCGCTGCCAGCCGAGTGTCAGCGCGGTGACTGTGGCTGCTGTCAGCTCAGCCGAGTGTCAGCGCGGTGACTGTGGCTGCTGTCAGCTCAGCCGAGTGTCAGCGCGGTGACTGTGGCTGCTGTCAGCGGAGTGTCAGCGCGGTGACAGTGGCCACTGTCAGCCGAGTGTCAGCGCGGTGACAGTGGCCTTTGTCAGCTCAGCCGAGTGTCAGCGCGGTAACAGTGGCCACTGTCAGCTCAGCCGGGTGCCAGCGCGGTGGCTGTGGCCACTGTCAGCCGAGTGTCAGCGCGGTGACTGTGGGCACTGTCAGCCGGCTCTGGCAGCGCGGTGACTGTGACCACTGTCAGCCGAGTGTCAGCGCGGTGACTGTGGCCGCTGTCAGCCGGGTGTCAGCGCGGTGACTGTGGCTGCTGTCAGCAGTGTCAGCGCAGTGACTGTTTGCGCCGCCGGCCGACTCTGTCAGCGCGGTGACTGTTTGCGCCACCGGCCGGCTCTGGCAGCGCGGTGACTGTGGCCGCTGTCAGCCGAGTGTCAGCGCAGTGACTGTTTGCGCCGCCGGCCGACTCTGTCAGCGCGGTGACTGTTTGCGCCGCCGGCCGACTCTGGCAGCGCAGAGTTTGATGGACTGGCTGCGGCGACAGTGATTTCCCGGGGGATTCTGCGGCGCACTAATCAGTTTAATGTCGCGCCCGTACGTGTCCGATGGAGGCGCGGCGCGTCACCCGCCGTCAGCGCAAACTGACGCTGATCGGAAGCCCTGAAGCTGCCGACCTATCACGGCACATCATATCGGATTCACAGAACACACACACACACACACACACATAGTGACACTGGATGGAATTGGACGGGCGCGGCGGCGCACAGACTCGGGTCTCAGCTCAGACTGCGGGCAGCGGGATGGTCTTATAAAGTTATAAAGTTACTGCATGGGAGCACCGGCGGCCCATCCTGGGCGGACCAGCCTCATGTTAGGGCAGTGTGGCCAGTGAATGGTAAACAAGAGCTGGTTCATGGCTGGGAGAGCGTCCGGGAATAGGCTGCAGTCGGAGAGGCTCCATAATAGTCGGAGAGTTGCAGTCGGGGAGGCTCCAGACATCTGGGTCAGACCAAGGTCAGCTGTTACTGGAAAGGCTCTGAGACTGAGAATGACTTGACTGGAGAAAGATGCGATTTCCTGTGGTGTAGGCTTTTCGTCAAGTAGAAGAGGGGGCTACTTGACCCGCGCCCCGCTGGGCTATTCAGCCATGCGCGCCCCAGTCATGCGCGGGTTAAATAGCTTAGGTTATGTGTTCTCAATTAAAATCACCAACGAACGAATCCGGCTTGACCAGCCGCTTATTGTCGGTGGCGTGTGGTGTGTGAACAACATTGTATGAACGGTTTCTCCTCGCATCCGAGCTCTTTATTACACTGACACAGTGGCCCGACGCGATATTGATTCTCAGGTACGGTCGTGACGTCACTGGGTAGCCGCCACCGAGTGGTGAGCGGCCTGCCATACCACCCGAGAGGCCAGAGGCGGCCTGCAGCGGGCCTCCGCGCCGAGCGAGTGCCGTCAGCGGGCGGCCGACGGTCGACACCGCGCTGGGAGCGGCCTCCCACTGCTCCGGGGACGTCAGAGGCCAGCAGAGGCCCTCTGCGCCGGCCGAGCGTCGCGCCGCGATGGGATCCACCGCCGGTACCGGCTCCGGTCAGGACGGCGGCCCGGGCAGGGGCGCCGAGCAGCGGCCGCTCCAGCCGCCGGCCCCGGATGTGCTGGCCAGACAGCGGCGCACCGCTCCCAGCGGCGAGCAGGCCACACCGCGCGCCGGCTGGCAGGAGCGGCTGGCGCCCCTGGCGCAGGAGGAGCGCATGACGCCGCTGCAGACGCCAGACAAGTGTGGCCAGAGCCCGTCCGGCTCACTTCCCGCCGGGCGGTGGCCGAAGAAGTTCGAGGGCGACTTCGACGAGCTGCTGAACCTGGTCGGTGACTTCGGACGCTTTCAGTGGCGGCTGTTTTTGCTGCTGCAGCTCCCTTTCTTCTTCCTCGCCTTCAACTACTTCGGTCAGATCTGGCTGACCCTGGAGCCGGACCACTGGTGCCGCGTGCCGGCGCTGGAGGCGCGCGGCTGGACGCAGCAGCAGATCCGCAACCTCAGCTCACCGCTGGAGACGCGCAGCACCGGCGTCAAGCACTCCCAGTGCCGGATGTACGACGTCGACTTCGGCACGGTCGACCCGGACTCGTGGGCGCCGGCCAACGACACGCCGACGGTGGCGTGTCGGCACGGCTGGGCCTACGACTTCTCGCTCATCTACCCGACCATCGTCTCCGACAACGACTGGGTGTGCGACCAGGCCTGGAAGCCCACGCTGGCCTACAGTGCCTTCTTCGCCGGCTCGATGGTGGGCACGGTGGGCTTCAGCCACCTCTCGGACCGCGTCGGCCGGCTGCCCGTGCTCGTGCTCTCCAACATCGTCTGCGGTGTGGCCGGGTTCGCCTGCGCGTTCGTCTCGTCGCTGCCGGTGTTCGCCTCGCTGCGCTTCGTCGCCGGCCTGGCCAACAACCAGATGACGACGCAGGCGATCGTGCTGATGTCGGAGTTTGTCGGTCCGCGGCACCGCGCCATGGTGGTGAACGTGCCGCTGGCCACCTCCCTGTGCGGCGGCATGGTGATCATGCCGTGGATCGCGCGCCTGCTCTACCACTGGACCTATGTGGCGATGGCGTTCTCGGCGCCGATGCTGCTGACACTGCTCTACTACCTGCTCGGCGTGCCCGAGTCGTGCCGCTGGCTGCAGCACGTCGGACGCGTCGACGCCGCCGTGCGCGAGATGCGCGCCATCGCCAAGGAGAACGGCCGAGACGTGCCCGACGAGGTGTTCGAGAGCTTCACGGTGGCCGCCAAGCGGCACCACGACCTGGAGGAGTCGCAGCCGCGGCCGTCGCTGCTGGACGCACTGCGGCTGCCGCGGCTGCGCCTGCGCCTGCTCACCATCACCGTGGCTACCATGGCCACGCTGCTGGCGTTCGACCTGATCGCGCGCAGCACCGAGCTCGACCTGGACGTCTACACGTCGCAGTCGCTGCTGGGGCTGACCGAGGCGCCGGCCGACCTCTTCACCTGGCTGCTGCTGGAGACGCTCGGCCGCCGCTGGAGCATGTGCGGCTCCATGGTGACTGCCTCCGGCCTGGCGCTGGGCCTATCGTCGCTGCTGCGCGAGGGCGGCCGGCCGATCGCCTCCACCACGGTGGCGTTCTTGTGCCGCTGCAGCGTCACCGTCGGCTTCAACGTGCTCTGGTCGCAGCACATGGAGTTGGTGCCGACCGTGATCCGCGGCCGCGCCTGCGGCGTCGCCAACGTGGCTGGCCACGCGTGCGTGATGCTCAGTCCGGTGGTGCTGTCGCTGGCGCGCGTCGATCGCGGCCTGCCGGCGCTCGTGCTGGCCGCCGTGGCGCTGCTGGGCGGCCTGGTGACCAGCACGCTGCCCGAGACGTCGCACCGGCCGCTGCCCGACACGCTGGAGCAGGGCGACGCGTTCGGCCACGATCAGCGCTTCTTCCAGTGCTTCTGGTACAACCCGTGCGGCGGCAGTGCTGAGGAAAAGGCCGCGGATCGGGAGATGTACGGCTGTGACAACGCGGCGGCGGCTGTGGAAGAGTGAGGGACCCTCCTGGGACCCTACAGGGACCCTCCTGGGACCCTACAGGGACCCTCCTGCGACCCTCCTGGCAGGGACCGACTGACGCTGCGGCGGTCTGGAGAAACGGTGGCCGGGACCGTCGTGCCTGGAGGAATTGGTCGCCGGCACGCCGCGGCACCGGCGCAGCCAGGCGATTGTGACATCCGTGAGAGCTTGGGCTGTACTCGACCAGGGGTTTTGACAGGAATGTTTATCATGAGTGAATGTTTTGTGTCATTGCCGTGCGAGCCTCGAACAAAGTTTGTTCATAATCATAACGTTCTTCCTACGACTTTTAGATCGGTTTTCATTTTGCATATATGTATATGTAAGCATTTAACAGGTTTTGTATAAGACGGCGGCTGGGTCAACATGAGGTGCTCCATTCCAAATAGTAAAAATGCAAGTTGTTTGCTTAGCATTTATATGTCTTCATATGTTTGAATATCTCATCACCTATCGGTTCGATCCATTGACATGTCCTGCTGCTATGTATGGAATGGTGTTCCCATCGATTACATGTACGTCTACTACATTTAAAAGTTCGTGATCAGTTTGAGTTATATCCCGCTAGCATCTGTCAGGAAGGTGACCTTTAATGTCACGATCATTGCGCCCTTATCCACATGCAAATCATGCATAAATTTACGTACTTAGGATACGCTGGGTCATTTTCAATTCACACCGTGTCACCTATGAATCATGCTCTCCCGTCGTTAAACTGTAGTGTTTAATACTACGGTATGGCTGTATAGTAATAAATATTTGATACTTGTTCGAAATAAAGTTTTCGCATCTGGCAATAAAAGGAAAGGATGAAAAGTGTTACATCCCAGCCCGAATGTACCTAGTACCTACAGCGGCTTGGGTTGTTCAGCTGCTGTAATGACATGACAGTGGAACCAGCGACAGATAGATGTGCTGTGCCGGCCCAACTAACCTGCAGACTTCCATATCGACCGGCGACAGTCAATAGTGGACTGCCGACCGGCCCAACTGCGCGACTTGACGACTGCAGCAAAGGTCGCTTTAGGGTCGCAGCTTCACAGGCAACGGAGGACGCGGCTGCTCAGTGCTCACTGGGGCGATAAACGAGATATTTGTATTTGATCATCCTAATCACAAAAAAATACCTAGGTAAAGGACACTCGCTGCTAATCACTTTTCAAGTTTCGAATGTTTCACGCAGCTTCAGTTTCAGGCGAATAAAACAAAAACTACTGGGTCTACTTTAGGTACACGTGGCTCCTGCTAGACGAAAGTCAGATGGTAGTTTACTAATCTGAGTACCTAAAGATAGCACTAATAATATGGATTTCACTACAGCATACAATTCTCAGCCTACAAAACACCTGCAATATTATTATATTAGTTACTTACCATCGCGTGATCCCTGGCCCGCCGCCCGGCGAGGATGAATGTCCCGCGCCGTCCGACCACTCGGAGAGGGCGCCTGCAGCGGCCAGTCGCCCCCAGTCCTCCGACTAGTCAGGAGGGGGGATGCGAACACGGTCCCCGTGGCGGCGACAGCAGTGCGCCATCTCCGCCCATGAGCCCCGCTATCTCTGTACACGGCTACTCCCAGGGGCCAGCGCTCGGCAGCCTGGACCGAGGGGTACCGGGATCGCGGGCTGCAGGGCCGCGGTCAATACCCACCCGGCGCTCATTGACACGCCCGACCACCAATGCATGGCCTGCAGGGACGGCCTCGCCACTATAATTCATCATCACCTGTGAGGTTCGGAGAGTTGTATTGCCACCATGGGCGACCCCCAGTTATTGGTCGTCACCATGGCAACGCGAGTGTGACATTGTTCAGCGTGAGCGATTGGTTTGATCGGGGTCGATCGGTCGAGTGTTGGACGCTTTGTAATGTAGCTCAATATAAATGACGTTTATTCCATGACGCTTTAGTTATATTGCACGAACTATGACCCACGGATAAGAATTACACATGGCGCGGTCGGTAGCGTTACCACACATGCTCTCTATTGCACCTAGCGCGGTATCTACTTATGGCATGTGACGGATGAAAATACCTCAAAAGCATCACGCTACTAGCTACACGTCAAGTAAGATGCAGCAAAAAAGGTATGACAACAGCTATGAATCAGTTTCGATTATGTAACGCACATTCGTCAATTGTCATACCTGCATGTCGCTTGTCAACAGTGTTCACTCATGGGGATGGCCGGCAGTCAGCCGAGAAGAGTAACAAGCTGGTTATATACTACTAGTGGACCACTTCAAATCCGGTCTCCGTGGCGCAGTGGTTAGCGTGCTTGTCTTCGCGTGGAAGGTCCGGAGTTCGAATCCCGGCGGGGACGCAAATTTTTCAACGCCGTAGCTCTTCGAATAAGAATAATGTCCTGCGACAACGACTTTGCCGCTGTGGTTGCTAGTTTGACAAGCTTGTTAAGGGAACAGGCCGAAGCTGCGAACACGAGGGAACAACGAATGGCCGAACTCGTGACGCAGGCCTTACAGGGCAGAGCAGCAGTGGGTGGCCAGTCTGGAGACGATGTCGGCTCCCAAGATCTTGCAGCTAGCAGAATCCGTCTCCCACCGTCAGCCACTCCAGCCCCGCACCTGATGACGTCAGCTAGCCTCAGAGAGTTTTCGGCATGGCGAGAGAAGTACAGAGGATATCGACTTCTCACAGGTCTAGACTCCATGTCAGTTCCCGAACAGCGCGCGGCATTACTGGCACTCCTGGATGACGAATGGACGCGTGTCGTACGCTATTCTCTGGATGTAGACGACGCCACAGCTGTAGACGCTGTGTTGGACAGGATGGAAAGCTACCTGAGAAGCCAAAGAAGCGTCATCCTTGACAGAAAGGACTTCCACACAAGACCGCAGGCGGACGGAGAGCCGTTTGACGACTACCTAATGGCTCTGAAGGAGTTGGCGGAATTCTGCGATTTCTGCAGTCACTGCATGGACGACAGGCTCCGTGACAGAATCGTGACCGGAATTCGCAGTGAAGAAACGGTACAACTCCTTCTGGCTGAGCCAGCCCTGACACTGCAGAAGACGATAGACATTTGTCGGGCAAAAGAGAACGCAATGCAGAACAGCGCCGAGCTCCGTGGCAGCCTCGCTCACGCTGTATCTGCGTACCGGCGTGGACGGAGCCGGGACAGCAGAGGCCGCTGGGACGGTCAAGACGGCAGGAACGGCCGGCACCGACGCGACAGTCGGGACGACAGAGAAACACGGCAAAGGCAAGCCAGACGGCAGGACGGATCGCCCAGTCAAGAAAAACGGTGCGGATACTGTGGCGGAAAATGGCACCCCAGGGAGCAGCTGGTGTCATGTCCAGCGAGGAACACTACCTGTGGAGAGTGCGGCATCAGGGGACACTACACATCAGTCTGCAGAAAAGCCAGACGGGCGAACACTGTGACAGACTTCGGAGAGCAGACGTCCGATAGACTCCAACTGAACGATGTGCGAGTTCAAGGCGTGACGGCCAAGAAAACACCGCAAGTTACCCTGCACGTCCGCCACCAGCGAGGCGAGGGAACAATGACATGGACACCAGACACTGGCGCAGAGGTGTCCGTCATCGGATCGAGAGAAGCGGAACGCATCGGCATCGACACAACCCGGCTGACGCAGCCCACCAACAGACTCTTGGGCGCTGGGGGGCATCAACTGGAGTGCGCCGGCTCACTTCAGTGCACGCTGACCATGGGACGGCGCCAGACTGTCACCACCGTGACAGTTGTGAAGGACTTGGATGCAGCCCTCCTGTCCTGGTACGACTCCATCGCCGTCGGAATCATCCCGCCAGACTTCCCGAGACAAATATACGGCATTTCTGAGACACCAGAACAGCCCACAGCCGAAGAGCCTCCATCTAAGACAGAGCCTGCAAGGGACCAGAACACCAGCCGCAGCCCAGTCCTGCCAACTTGGAATGCAGACCAGGGTGACCCGACAGCGGCACAGAAGGAAGAGCACCTGAGAGCATTGAAGGAGTCCTTCCCAAGGGTGTTCAGCACGCAGCCACCTCTGCGGGAAATGAGCGGCGGCCCGATGCGGATCGAGCTGCGACCAGACGCCCGTCCGTACGCCGCAACAGCCGCCAGGAATATTCCGCACGCATGGAGGGAAGATATACGACGCCAGCTGGACGAGCTGGTCAGCCAGGACGTCATCACGCCCGTGACCCATCCCACAGAATGGTGCCACCCAATGGTTCCCGTGCCGAAACCGCCGATGGGCGGAGAAGACGGCAAATCACCGGTTCGAATGTGTGTGGATCTGACCCGGCTGAACCTGTATGTGCGGCGCGGAGCACACCCAGTGACTACTCCACATGACGTCATCACCGGGATCGAAGGGGATAGTCGGTTCTTCACGAAGCTGGACGCGAAGTCGGGATACTTTCAGATCCCAATCGCTGAAGAGGACCAGGACCTGACGTGTTTTATAACACCCTGGGGCCGATTCAAATTCAAACGAGCCGTCATGGGGCTATGCACGTCCGGAGACGAGTACGGGCGGCGCGGAGACGTCGCGCTAGCCGGACTACCCAAGACGGGCAAAGTGGTAGACGACATCTTGGCATACGACAGCGACTACTCAACGCATCTGCAGCACGTCATCGAGATTCTGCGGCGCTGTGACAGCCACGGGATCACTCTGAACCCGGCTAAGGTGACATTCGCTGCTGAGGCTCTCGATTTTTGTGGCTACGTGATCAGCCCTACTGGATACACAGCGGACAGAAGGAAGGTGCAGGCGATAGCAGATTTCCCTGTCCCGGAGAACCTTACGGATCTCAGGAGTTTCATGGGACTGGTGAATCAGCTCGGATCATTCTCGACGGACACATCCAGGGCAGCCGAGCCCCTGCGAGACCTGCTGAGACCAAGAAACGTATGGAGCTGGACATCGGTGCACCAGGCAGCGTTCGAGACGGTCAAAGCCACACTTGTCACCCCTCCCGTGCTGGCGTACTTTGACCGGCCAACCGCCATCCACACAGACGCCTCGCGAGTCGGCGGCCTGGGCTATGCGCTGCTACAGCGCCACGACCAAGAGTGGAAACTGGTCCAGTGCGGCTCCAGATTTCTGTCTGATGCTGAGTCACGATATGCCGTCGTGGAGCTAGAGATGCTGGCAATCACATGGGCAGTGCGAAAGTGCCACATCTATCTGGCTGGAATGTCGGAGTTCGACATCATCACTGATCACAGACCCTTAGTACCGATCCTGAACAGCAAGTCACTTGCAGAGATCGAGAACCCGCGACTCCAACGACTCCGGGAGAAGCTCACGGCTTACACATTCACAGCAGTCTGGAAAGCTGGTAAGAAGCATCATCTCCCAGATGCCCTATCTCGGGCACCGGTGGAGCAGCCGAGCCCTGAAGACGAGGAAGCAGAGCGAGAGGTCGTGCACCAGACGAGAAGCACACTCTTGGCTCGAATAAGAAATGAAGAGGACGGTGACGAGACGACAGCTTCCCCGATGCAAGACATCATCCTGGAGAAAGTGAGGGAAGCCAGCAGAACAGACGAGACGTACCAGAAGGTGACAGAGACAGTCATGAACGGATTCCCTGAACACAAGGCGGACCTCCCCAGCCTGGTTCGCCCCTACTGGTGCGTTCGCGAGCGGCTATCGATCGACGACGACCTGCTCGTCTGCGGAGCACGTCTCGTCATCCCACACAGTCTACGACGTGAAGTACTGGAACGTCTACATGACAGTCACCAGGGCGTAGACCGAACTAAGCGACGCGCCAGACAGTCAGTGTACTGGCCCAACATCGACCAAGACATCAGTAACGTCGTCTCGGCATGTGCAGCCTGCCATGCGAGACTTCCCAGCCTGCCAAAGGAACCCCTCTTGACAGATCCCCGTCCAACGAGAGTCTTCCAGTCCGTGTCGGTAGACTTCTTTCATCACGCTGGAAAGACGTTTCTCGTGTACGCAGACAGGCTATCTGGCTGGCCCATCGTCGTGTCCTGTAAGAGAGAAGCGACTGCTCGGACGCTCGTCTGCTCTCTACGCGAGATTTTCTCCTCTACAGGCGTGCCGAACGTCTTGAGGAGTGACGGAGGCCCACAGTTCTCAGCGCACCACACAAAGGAGTTTCTGAAACGCTGGGGAGTCAAACATATATTGTCCAGTCCACACTATCCCCAGGCGAATGGCCACGCCGAGTCAGCCGTCAAACTCGTAAAGCGACTGCTCCAGAAGACGTCTGTCGCAGGAAACACAGACTGTGACGAATTCGCCAGGGGACTCCTGGAAATCCGAAACACGCCCCGAGGAGACGGACGCTCTCCCGCCCAGGTGTTGTATGGACATCCAGTTCGGTCGGCAGTTCCCATGCACTATCGTGCCTTCGATCAGAGATGGCAGAGGTCAGCGGAAGACTGCGACCGAAAGGGGGAGGAGATGAAAGCAGCAGCCAGAGAATCATACAACACCAGCGCCAAGCCGCTGAGACCTCTACGTATAGGAGCATACGTATCGCTGCAAGATCCGGACACTGGCCTATGGGACAGGACCGGCCAGGTAGTGGGGATCGGGAGCCACAGAAGCTACTTGATCAAGACGCCTAGTGGCCGCACCCTATGACGTAACCGCAGGCATGTCCGGCCATTCCGTGGGATCGTCGCGACCCAGCGAGCAGATCCAGATCCAAGCCGAGCAGATCCGAGCCAGAGAAGAGGCGAGACGTTGTCACCGACCCCGGCTCCGGTAAGCCGCAAGACGGTGCGGTTTTCTCTGGGCGAGTCTGAGCTCTCCCCACGACGGAGCAGCCGACGACGTCAGCCCCCAGAGAGACTCCAGGTCGATCCGAGGCTGAAGACATACGGACCGACCTGGGGGGAGGTGTGAGGTTCGGAGAGTTGTATTGCCACCATGGGCGACCCCCAGTTATTGGTCGTCACCATGGCAACGCGAGTGTGACATTGTTCAGCGATTGGTTTGATCGGGGTCGATCGGTCGAGTGTTGGACGCTTTGTAATGTAGCTCAATATAAATGACGTTTATTCCATGACGCTTTAGTTATATTGCACGAACTATGACCCACGGATAAGAATTACACATCACCTAGCTTTTAGTCGATGTTAACCCGCGCCCCGTAGGGCTATCGGCGGACCCTACCACCCGTGGGGGGAGGGGGAGGGGTCGTTTCGCCCCGCCGCCCCCTAAGATCTTGGAAATTTAACGGCTGATTTTCAAAATTCAAACTGCACTCGATAGCTGTACTGTCTTGCCGTGTATTGGCAAATCACACGAAGTCAAGACAGTTATTAATAAAACGACATAACGCATAATAGCACCGCAGCCGAGCGTCCACCGCGAGCTCCGCACCAAGACTGCCCTCGTCCCTGACCCCGGCCGCTCGGCCCTCCAAGGTCACCCGCCACGCGGCAGCACTGACGGGTGACATAAGGCCACTAAATACTACAATAGCCCCACCTTGTGACCCCATTTCATTGACCTCAGCCCAACCGATGACGTCACATAATTTGGCCAGAAAAGAGGTATCGATCTCAAATTTCGTATGTGTAGAGAAGACGGTAGAGCCTATCTTATATTCCGATGTTTTCGAAATTCGGAAAGCTTGTGATTTTTGGCTATTGTATAAAAGAGAACTTTTGGGGAGTTAAAATAAAAAATTACAAATCCGAGATAGCCGTTTTTTACACCTTTTATGTCCAATGTCCAGAATATTTTCTGTATCTTCAAAGCCGTAGGCCTCGCAATTTTTTCCGCGAAACCTTTTTTGGGTCGAAAATGGCAGAGCATGACGTCATTTGTATTTTGTGGCCAACCTATCATATCCTCTGGAAAAATGTTAGTCACAATGTGTAAAATTGATGCCCGGAGGGGCCCGGGCAGATCGGTCTTCAATGATAAAACGACAAATGGCAAAGAAGTAACATGTTAATTATATTATAACACACACATTACAGTCATTCAGGTATTACTTTGGTAACGCAGGCTGCGGAACAGCGCTGTCTTTTCTCGACTAGGAGACATCACATCCCCTCCTCATACACTCGCACGGTTCAGTAACGACTTAAAATTAAAACCAGCACTTTCTGATCGATCACACGGCTGCAAAAGTGCGCTGCTGTCCGCGACATACAGGAATCATGCGCGGCGTCTCCTCTGGGCCATCCCGTGCTACGAATGGACCACAAAATCGGACCAAACACCATAACACGGTCACCGACCGCCCCTCGTGGGGCGCCTGGCAGCGGGCGGATCCACCAGCGCTGTATCAGCAATACGGCTGATACGCGGGACATTCAGATGTCGCTGCAGATCACGGTGCACACCGAACTATACCGTCTGACAGCGCCGGAGCAGCTGCAACAATGCATACATAGCAACCTATTGACTACCTCTCGGCAGGCATAGCTACCTCTCGGCACAACAGCATAGCATTATCACTTATCGTTCACACAGACCAACCTCTCGGCCCGAAAGCGTCGTATGGCCATTCATACCAACCAACAGTTTCGTAAAATTAATTCACATCGGCGGACAGTAGGGAGTCGTCACCATTTTACCCCGATCTACAGCACCGAATCACCAGTTTACGCCGACCTACAGTACCGAACCACCAGTCCATATCGACCTACATTGCCGAATCACTAGTTCACAACGACTACACCTCTCAGCCCAACAGCACAGTATCACAACGGCACGACCATCTGAACTGCTCTCAAGCAGGAGCTGCATCAGCTGCATCAAATGTCCGGGTACGGCTAGACACTCAGTCCTAAAGCGTATTGTCTCATGAAAACCATAACCTTCTCCTTATTAACGCGCCTTTGCAATAAGGAAGAATGCGTAAGAACCTTGCCCAATTTTCCAAACAGCTCCTCGAGCTAGTGAAGTAAGCCGCGATTATCTCGCCTCTGACCCTTCTCCTCCCCTTCCGCCATCCGATTTCCAATGGCCCCGTATATAATCCGCTGAATAGGCCCCTGTCAATAAGATTTGCTGCATGCCTGCAATAGAGGATGGCCTTTATTGACTGGTGGTAAATGGGGAGTTAATTCCTCGCCTTTACCTTTATCTATGCTGATATCAGCTTAAGTGCTATGCCTAAGCCCGTGAAATTAAGCGGTGTTTATTTTGTCGAGTCATTAGCCCGCGCTGTGGCAATGTGTATCGGCGCTGCGTGTCCCGATCGTAGCAGAAAAAGGTCGTCAGAAATCGTGAAATGACCAGCAATAATTCTAGTTTTTTCTGGGCACGCTGCCAAAAGTCATCATAGGTCAGATGTTCCCGGTTTTGACGATTTTGGACGAGCTGGTTCATTGCTCGTCAACAACGCGAGAGCAATTTATATTATCTTTACAAGGTTTAGCACATAAGGCCCTGTTGCTTTTGAAAGCCGTTTTGTTTTAGGATCTTTGAATTGGCCTCAGATTATAGTTGGAATGGAGGAACACCCCAAATATATTTTAGGGAAAACGTCTCTTTTACGATTTCCGAGTAACCCCTTAGAGTTTAACGAGACCCGATCAGAGTCTGTTAGGTCCAGTTATAAAATATGTATAGCATTTGGATATGATTCACTATTAAGGCCAATTATAACGTTATTTGGTTACACCAATAAAAAAATGACCATACGTTCCCTATAGGTTAGCAGCTTTCATGCATTCAGCTGCGACAACGATAACATAAAACTAAAAAAAAAAACTATAAAAACAGTCCCTTCGCCGTTGAAACGTGCCTATCAGTTAATAACTAAAACGGGTACATTCGCTTTGTAAATCAAATGTAAAAATGTGCGAACTGCGATGGCAATAAGCCAAAGCAACTGCCAACCAGAGACAACAAATTGGATGGCAGCATCGTTAACATCACCTAACAGGTTATGGCACCTTCGAAACTGTCCTTCGTCTGACAAATTCAGCACTTTCGGGCACAACGATGTTTTCTGTTTCAATCCAAATAAGCTGTAAAATGAAAGGCACTCGTCCTTCCTTGAGGCTCCTCATGAAGTATACACTCCGCTTCTCTCGAGTGCACCGGGCTGAAGTCTACACTCCGCTCCTCTCGAGTGCACCCGGCTCTTGTCTCCGCCTCAGACTGCCGGCCAGTTCAGTCTCTCGGTCTGTGCCGGTCTCTGCGCCGGTGTCTGTCTCTCAGAGGTCTATCTCCGCCGCCGCCAGAGGCGCCTGCTCAGCTGCCGTCTGCGCCGGCCGCTGGCCTCCCCCCTCCGTCTGCGTCGGCCGCTGGCCTCCCGCCGCTGCCTCACACGGAACGCGTCCAGCGCCGGCACGCTGTTCAGCAGCTGCGAGCCCAGCGCGTCCTGCAGCCCGGGCGCGTACTGGTTCAGGTTGTTGAAGATGTGTAGGAACTCGCTGTCGCCGGGTCGTGTGTTGACGGGACACTGCGGGTAGAGCCGGGCGCAGTCCTGCCGAGAGCCGGCTGTGCTGCCGTCCAGAGCCGCCGTGGTGAACGGCGAGAACGCGCTCGGCTGGGCCAGCGTGGTCAGCATCCTGGGGGAGTCAGGGAGGCGGTCAGCATCCTGAGGGAATCAGGGGCGGCGTGGTCAGCATCCTGGGGGAATCAGGGGCGGGGTCAGCATCCTGGGGGAGTCAGGGAGGCGGTCAGCATCCTGGGGGAGTCATGGGCGGCGTGGTCAGCATCCTGGGGGAGTCACGGGCGGGGGTCAGCACTCAGCATCCTAGGGGAATCAGGGTCAAAGGGGTGGTCAGCCTTCTGGAGGTTCAGGATGGCAGAGGGGAGGTCACAGGGGTGGTCAGCATCCTGGAGGTTCAGGATGGCAGACTGCAGAGGGAGGTCAGAGGGCCGGATCAGCATTCTGCGGGTCGCAGAAGGGCCAGGTGGGACCTTGGCAGGGAGTCTGCCAGGATCCGGAGCGCGGAGTGAGTGAAAGGAACGGGAACTAGGGGTTAGTATTAGTTAGGTAGCAGCTCATAACGTTTCAACAGTGTAAGAGATGGACAAATCAGCGTAACAAATACATATAAATACTATGTAGCTGTAGTCAGATGAAGTTCTGACAGCCAGCACGTTGCACTGTTAAATGCATTTGACGAGCGACACCTACGGGGTCGTGCGGCAAAAACTTTCTCTGTCCGCGGGCGCCACTGCAGCGACACCTGCCGTGTGGCTCCAACACTATTGGCTCAGTCTGTGCGCCCACGCCGTGCCGCGAACACTGATCCTACACATTGTTCAGCGTTCCGATTGTAGTTGGACCACATCTGGTGAGTTCTCCCCACGTGGTGGGTGCATTACGCCGAGATGGCCTGGCTGGGCCGTGGTGTCGTATTTTTATGTTCGCCCAGTGGGCTCGCGGCACTGGCAGCCGGCTCTCAGTTAGGAACTGCCAGACCAAAGTACCAGTCGCTGGCTGTTTTATATTTTTTTTTCTATCATTGCCTCTAGGGCCCTTGCCGCAGGTTCCTGCACCACCGACAACTGTGGTGTCCCCTACGGCCGCAGGGGCGCGCCGCGGCCCGCGATCGCGTCGTCGGCCATAGCGCGTTTGCGCCGGCGACCGTATACGCAGTTACGCTCGTGCCGCAATTCAGGGAGTTACGTCTTATGCTGCCACCAGACTGCTAGCCTCGTATCTTGTTGTATTCATCGCCCTGTCCACGCGCATGACCTAATGTCTCTGTGCACCCAAGGCCAAGCCACCCTGACGCCATCTTGGCGGGTCCGAGCAGCAATCGTGTGACCTCTACCCAGCGATCGCGTGATCGTGACGTCAGCGGTAGGTGTGGACACCTCCAGCGCTGGTGGCGCCGCGGCGGCAGCGACAGCAACTGCTGGTAGCCACGTGGCCGCCAGCGGCGCAGGCGCGGGCGTGTCATTACGTAACCGTCATCCGCGCCGTGAGGCGGCCCGGGTGATTCACCCGCCGTGTCGTCAGCTGACCGTGACCGTGGCCTAGCGGCCTTTGGCCCGGCGACCGGACCGCAGGTCCGCAGCTGATTGGGGGTCGTCTTGCACCGGGTCTGCAGCGGGCCATCTGGGCTGGAGTCAGGTCACTGCTGGCTGTATGCCACTCTGTGGGAAGCAGCGTTAGTCGGTCACAATTTGGCCAGACGTGTACGCAATCGTGTATGCCTGAGAGGCAGCGTTAGTCGGTCACAGATTGGCCTGACGTGTACGCAACCGTATATGCCTGGGAGGCAGCGTTAGTCGGTCACAGATTGGCCTGACGTGTACGCAACGGTGTATGGGCTGGAGTCAGCTCACTGCTGGCCGTATGCCACTCTGTGGGACGCAGCGTTAGTCGGTCACAATTTGGCCAGACGTGTACGCAATCGTGGATGCCTGAGAGGCAGCGTTAGTCGGTCACAGATTGGCCTGACGTGTACGCAACCGTATATGCCTGAGAGGCAGCGTTAGTCGGTCACAGATTGGCCTGACGTGTACGCAACGGTGTATGCCTGAGCTGCAGCGCTAGTCGGTCACAGATTGGCTGGACGTATACGCAACCGTGTATGCTATATCGGTTTCGTCCGCGTCCCACTCTGGGAGCGTCCAGGGCTTACGTAATTTTGTTTTTCTCATTGCAGGCATGCTCGTCGTAGGGGACAGCTATGCTGTCCACCTCCCCCGCCGCTGTTCGCCCCACCTTGCCGTGGCGGCGGCCGGTGTTCGCGGAGGCTGCGTCAATGACGACGGCTTCAGGCGCTGGGCCATCCGGGCCGCAGTTCGTGCCCGTCCTCGCGTGGTCACGCTCGTGGCGGGCGGAAATGACCTCGCCAGAAGGGACTGCCGCGTTCAGCGGTGGCTCGCCAACCTCCAGGAACTGACGCTCGGGCTCCTGGCAGCCGGAGTCGTTCGCGTCTATGTGCTGCCCATCCCTCCGCGCACAGGCTTTCCATCCAGCGGCGTGTCGGCGCGAATTTTCCGGCGGCGGCGCTGGGTGGCCAACAAACTGTTGCGCCGCCTTTTCCGCCAACCGCCGGTGCTCCTGCTCCACTTTGTGCCGCCACCTGACTTTCTGGCGTCGGATGGGGTTCATCCGTCCGCGGCCGGGTGGCGCACCCTGGAGAGCGTGCTACAGGAGGCTATGGACGCCTCCTCCGGGATTTAGCGTGTACCGGGTCGCTCCCGTGCTGTGTCGTGTGTGTCCCCCCCCCCCCCCCTCCTAACCGGCTGGCCGTTTAAATACACATTCCCGCTAACATCGTCGTCTATTTTCATGCGTTCGGAGCTGCTATGCCACGGGCCAAGTCGTCGGCGGGCCGTGCCCCGGCACGCCCCCTGCCAGCGCCACGGACGGACGCGCCGCGACGCGCCACTACGAGACGCTCCGCGGCGGCCGCGGCCGCGTCTGGCGCTGGTGCCACGAGCCGCCGCACGCCCGCTGCTGCGGCGAGGCGACAGGCCGCAGTGATGGCCACCACTCCGCCCAATCCAGGGCGGGGCCATGCTGCTACAACGTCGGCCGCCGCCGCCTCGCCCCCTGACGCCGCGGTCATCGACCCCGCCGCTCTTCAAACAATGGTGGGCGACATGGTCCGGGCCGCCGTCGCCGCCGCTCTACCTGCCAGCGAGCCATCACCGCCGGCGACGGTCGCCGTGCAGCGCGGTCCGGCACAGCGTCTCCAGGATGGGCCAGCTGCCCATCTGACGTCCGCCGACCACGCCTACACGCCGGCTGCCGAACTGCAAGCCGGGCCAATGGCGCTCCCGGCGGTTCTCTCCGGCGCCCCTCCGACCGCCGCCGGCCCTGCTCCACCTGCGCACCTGCCAGCGGCGCAGTTGCCCGTCGCCGGCCGTCCGCCGGCACCGGTGGAAAATGCCGCAGGTGACGACCTAGCGGCCCGCGCTGCCGTATCCCCCGCGGTGGCGGCCCTCATCGTGTCCCATCAATTCATTGACCTAAACACTCTCCTCAACGACTCTATCCCCCCGGCAGAACCAGGGCTGTTTTGCCTTATCGACGGCCGTCTCCGTCCCTCGGTACAGCGCCGCCCAATCCCGCATTTCGGCGCCTGGGCCACCGCGTTTCTTCGATACGCGGCCGTGTACTTGGCTGCCCACCCCGCTGACGCCTCCGGTCTGTTGCGCCACATGCAACAAGTGTCCTCGCTGCAGGCGCCCGGCCTTGGATTCGCGTGGCGCGATTTCGATGAGGCCTTTCGGCGCGCACGGGGCCTCTGCCCGGAAGCTCACCCATGGGGCTCCACGGCGGCCACGTCTCCCATTTGGCTCACCGCAATCGCTCGCGGAATCGCCGGTTCTCGGGCCGGGTCTGCAGCCGGTGTAAGCGGCGAGGGTCGGGGCGGCTCTAGCCGGCCGGCCGCCGCGTCTGGCTCTTTTCGCGCGCTCTGCCTCGGCTACAATCGCGCCGCCGGGTGCCGCCGGTCCCCGTGCCTGTTCCGGCACGAGTGCCGCCTCTGCCGTGGCCCCCATAGCGTGCTCGCCTGCCCTCGCCGCGCCGCCCCGGCCCTCCCCGGCACCCGCCGCCCCGGCCGCGAATGACTCCCTCACTCCGCCGGTATCAGTCCCGCCCGACCACCTCGCGCTGCTCCTGACAGGTTACGACCCCGCCCTGGCCGCGCAGCTAGTGCACGGTTTTCGCTACGGCTTCCCGCTCGGCAGCGCCGAGGTCCCCTCTGGTGACTCGGGCGGCAACCTTCCATCCTGCTCTCTGGCGCCGGAAGTCGTGGACGCATATGTCGCGGCTGAGACGCGCGCGGGTCGGATAGCCGGTCCTTTCTGTCCCGCGCCGCCATGGATCGTCCGTTTTTCTCCCATTGGTCTAATCCCCAAAAAGTCTCCGGGCTCGTTTCGGGTCATTCACCACCTGTCATTTCCCACCGGCGCTTCCGTCAACGATTTCATTCCCCGGGAGCGCACATATGTTCAATACGGGTCGGTGGACGAGGCTCTTCGCCTGATTGGGTCCTTCCAACGCCCCTACCTCGCCAAAACCGATATTGAGAGTGCATTCCGCATCGTGCCCGTCCGCCCGGCGGACGCCGCCATGCTCGGTTTCCATTGGCGGGACTGCGCATACGTGGACCTTTGCCTTCCTATGGGCTGTGCCAGCTCTTCCCAAATCTTCCAGTCCGTCAGTGATGCGCTCGTCTGGATCGCGCAGAACAAATTCGGGGCGGGTCCCATTGTTTCTGTTTTGGACGACTTCCTCTTCATCGGCGAGTCGCGCGCAGCGTGTCAGCGCTCGCTCGGCGGCTTTCAGGCCATGTGCCGTGACTTGGCGATCCCGCTGCGTCGCGACAAGACCGTGGCGCCGTGCCGGTCCCTCACCTTCCTCGGGGTGGTATTGGACCTTGAGCGCGGCGAGCTGCGGCTGCCAGCTGACAAGCTGGCACGTGCCAGGGCAGGCCTCACGAGCCTGCTGGCCCGCCGGAAAGCGCCCCTCCGCATGGTCCGTGAATGCACGGGGCTCCTCAGCTTTGCGTGCACCGCAGTGCCACTCGGTCGCCCGTTCCTACGGCGCATGTTCGACTTGTGTCGCGGCGTGTCGCGCCCTCACCACCGCGTCACGATCACCCGGGCGGCCAGACAGGATATGCGCGCCTGGCTGCTGTTTCTAGACCGTTTCCCAGGCCGCGCGATTCTCGCTCACCGGCGCTGGTTGTTGGAGCCGGGTCTTATCCTGGAGACGGACGCCTCCAGCTCGGTCGGGCTCGGTGCCATCTGCGGCGAGGACTGGCTCCTGGGGCCGTGGCCCGCGTCCCTCCGCGAGGCCCCTATCAGCGTTTTGGAACTAGTGGCTGTCGCTGTAGCCGTGCACGTGTGGCGAGATCGGTTCGCGCATCGCTGCGTCCTTGTGCGCTCAGATAACTCCGCTGTGGTGGCCTGTATAACCTCTCAGTCATCTCGCTCGCCTGCCCTAATGCCATGGCTCCGATTCCTTTTTCTCACCACCGTCTCTCATAACATTCTCGTGCGTGCCGTGCACACACCCGGCATCGCCAATGCAGCAGCTGACGCCCTGTCCCGCGGTCTTGTGCAGGTCTTCAAGGAGCTCCGCCCGTCCGCAGCAGCCACGCCGACGTCCTGGGACTGGCCGGCCTGCGGCACGCTCTCACCGTTCACCAGCTAGCTGGTGCCGCGCTAGCTCCTGCTACCATTCGCTCTTATCGAGCAGTGTGGGGCCAAATCCGCGTTTTCCTCACTCTGCCGCCCACTGCTGCCCTGTTTCCCATCTCAGTGGCCGACACTGCTGATTTCCTGGCCTCTCGACACGAGCAGGGCTGTTCCGCTTCCACCCTCGCCGCCGAGGCGTCTGCCATCTCCTACGGCCACAAGCTAGCCGGCGCGCCGGATCCCACGGCGGACTTCCGGGTGCGACAGCTGTTAGCGGGATCCCGCCGGCTACGGCCGAGTGCGGACAACCGCCTCGCCGTCTCCCTGACCGAGCTCGGCGAGCTCTGCGCCGCACTCCATTTCCTAGGCCTCTCCCCGGTAGACCGTGCTGCATTCCGTGCCATCTTTACATTGGCTTTCTTTGCTATGCTTCGCCCGGGCGAGGTCGTGCGCGGCCGAGACCTGACCCACACAGTCCGACTCAGCCACGTGAGTCTCGTCGGCCCCCAGCTTTCTCTCACCATTCCATCCTCAAAAACGTCGGCCTCCCCGTTCACCACCACGCTTCGAGCCCGGCCTGATCTTGCCACGTGTCCGGTCGCCGCTGTCCGCGACTACCTCGCGGTCCGCGGCACGGGCCTTCCTGATGACGCACTGTTTATCGGCGGCCATCGCCGCCCTCTGACATCGCGCGATCTCACTCGCGTACTTCGCATGGCGGGCCGTCGAGCTGGTCTCAACCCAGCCCGCCTCTCCGGGCACTGCCTTCGCATCAGCGGCGCCTCCCACGGCGCCGCAGTCGGACTAACGGAGCCTCAACTCTGCCACGCCGGCCGCTGGTCGTCCCAGGCCGTGCGGCGATACGTACGGCGGCCGGTCTCCCTCCTTCAGGCATCCTAAGCGGCGGGTCCCGTCCAAAGAGGGTTAACGTTGCCGGCCTTCCACCGCTACCGCTCCCAAACCCGAGCCACAGCTGCCCGTTCTAGGTCTGGGTGCACGGGCCGCGCCCTAGCAGGCGTAGCGGCAGTCCCGACGCTGCCTGTTCAGGCCCGGGCTCCCAAACCGCCGCCCTCGCAGGCGGAGCGGCGGCGTCCTTGGCCACCTGCCTGTTTTCGGTCCGGGATCCCGGACCGCCGCCTTCACGGGCGAGCGGCAGTCTTGTCAGCTGCCTGTTTTAGGTCCGGGCCCCCGGACCCCCGCCTCACGGGCGGAGCGGTAGTCTGTCAGCTGCCTGTTTCAGGTCCGGGCTCTGGGACCGCCGCCCTCGCCGGCGGAACCAATATAAGGACAGTCGCAAAACTTTTCGAATAAGAAAAGGTTATACTATAATTTGGACAGGCTACTATTGCTAATGTCCACCCTCTTGGGTACGTCACGGTCTAATTGTCGATATGTTCCTGCTTATGTAAAAATCCATTTGGTAGGTATGCATAAAAACAACGTTTAAACAAAACATGCAAGTGGTCTATACGCCCTTGACGATTGTTCGGTTTGTGGGTTTGTAGATAGCTGGGTTCAAATATCCGTGAATGTCGGCAGCCGGTCCGTGGCTGTAGTAGACAGTTTGTCCGCGACCGTCCGTCACTGTCGAATGTCGATACTGATAGACGGTCGGTGGCTGTAGAAGTTTGTCCGCGACCGTCCGTCACTGTCGAATGTCGATACTGATAGACGGTCCGTGGCTACTGGCTGTAGAAGTTTGTCCGTGACTGTCCGTCACTGTCGAATGTCGATACTGATAGACGGTCCGTGGGTGTAGTAGACGGTTTGTCCGCGACCATCCGTCACTGTCGAATGTCGATACTGATAGACGGTCCGTGGCTGTAGATTGTAGAAGTTAGAAGTTTTGTAGAAGAGGGATTTTCTCAAAACTGTGAACTCTGAGGGAATGCAAAATAGTCGGTTCGTTGAGAGGCATCTATTAGCCATGTTTTCCACCATAATTCCATGCTTAACGTCCACTTATCTAGTGGCCATCTTGATTTTCGTGTTTGGTCGTCTGGGATCCGTGCCTATGTCTGGTCAATAGCCAGTTGGATTATCCGCGTGTGTCGGTGCATCGGTAGCCGGTCCGACTGTCCGTCACTGTCGGCAGCCGGTCTGTTCGTCACTGTCGGTGACTGTCGGTACCCGGTCCGACTGTCCGTCACTGTCGATAAATGGTCACTGTCGGCAGGCGGTCTGTCCGTCACTATCGGTGACTGTCTGTACCCAGTCCGACTGTCCGTCACTGTCGGCAGCCGGTCTGTCCGTCACTGTCCGTCACTGTCGGTACCCGGTCCGACTGTCCGTCACTGTCGATAAATGGTCACTGTCGGCAGGCGGTCTGTCCGTCACTATCGGTGACTGTCTGTACCCAGTCCGACTGTCCGTCACTGTCGGTAACTGGTCTGTCCGTCACTGTCGGTGACTGTCGGTACCCGGTCCGACTGTCCGTCACTGTCGGTGACTGTCGGTACCCGATCCGACTGTCCGTCACTGTCGGTAAATGGTCCGCAACTGTCTGTAGCCGGCAGCCGACTGTCGGTGACTGTCGGCAGCCGGTCTGTCCGTCACTGTCGGTGACTGTCGGTACCCGGTCCGACTGTCCGTCACTGTCGGCAGCCGGTCCGTAGCTGTTGTAGACGGTTTGTCCGCGACCGTCCGTCACTGTCGAATGTCGATACTGATTGACGGTCCGTGGCTATAGAAGTTTGTCCGTGACTGTCTGTCAGAGTCAGTAGCCGGTTGGATTATCCGCGTGTGTCAGTGTCGGTACCCGGTCCGAATGTCCGTCACTGTCGGTGACTGTCGGTTCCCGGTCCGACTGTCCGTCACTGTCGGTAAATGGTCCGAATGTCCGTCACTGTCCGTCACTGTCGGTACCCGGTCCGACTGTCGGCCACTGTCGGTCACTGGTCCGCGACAGTCTGTATGTAGCCGGCAGCCGACGGTCACTGTCGTCACAGAACAGGTCCAGCTCTGCCACGTGTCGTCCCTCGTCAGTCACCTGGTATAAAGAGCATTGTCAAGAAAGAACATCACAGGTCCAGTCAAGTTCTCGATAATCGGTGGACCTTCCCTACAAATTACCACATATTTTCCGTTTCGACATCAGTATTCGTTCAGATTTGCTGTTTCAGGACGCAAAAGAATGTAAGGCTAAATAAGGTTAAACCCCTTATAAAAATTCAGCAGACACTTCTGGCAGCTCGTTATCAAACAAGTGAGTTTAGGAGGTTGAGCTTTTCATCCCTACCTTAGGAAGCCGCTGATGATCGGCACGGTCCTCTTCTTCCGCCTCCTCTCGGGAAACCGTATCCGCCCGGTAGAGGGCGGTCGGGTGGCCTGGCGCAGCGTGCGCCGGCCGCCAGATGGCAGTGCCGGCGCCCGGAACTCGTCCGGAAACAGCAGCTCCTCGGCCGACACGGGCCGGCCCGCCGAGCGACCCGACACGACCTCCTCCTCGAACCGCACCCGGCCGCCGGTCCGCGGCTGACCGAACCGGCCCACAGGCGCGTCCCGCGGCCCCGGCGCGCCGACCCGGAACACCTCCCTGGCAGCGGTCACCGGCGGCCCGAACCCGGAGCTCTGGCTGGGCCCGCTGGGGTCGATAAACAGCACCCTGCCGGAGCCGCGGGTCGGCGGCGCTGAGCCGCCCAGCTCGTTGGGGCCGCGCGGCAGCGAGTGGCGCGACTGGACCGGCGTCAGGCCGAGGTCGTCAGCCAGGATCGGCGTGTCGTCGGCGAACACCGACACCCTACGAGAGCTGGGGTCGAACCGGGCCGGCCGGCCAAAGTCCAGGCTGCGGCCCACCTCGGGCGGACCGAACGCCAGAGTGTTGATCGGCCTCTCAAAGAACGCGTCCGGGCTCTGGCGGAGCGCGTCGGAGGGCGGCGCCGGCGGAGCTACGGGCGGCGCCGGCGGACCCACAGGGGGCGCCGGCGGACCCACAGGGGGCGCCGGCGGACCGCCGACGGGGGGCGCCGGCGGCAGGATGACGGGCGGACGGGGCAGCGGCGTCACCGGGGGTGGCACTGGGGGCTGCGGCCGTGAGGTCGGCGGCGCTGGAGGCTGCGGCCGTGAGGTCGGCGGCGCCGGGGGCTGTGGCCGTGAGGTCGGCGGCGCTGGGGGCTGCGGCGGCGGCGCCGGAGGTCTGGTGGGGGGCGGCGCAGGCCGAGTAGTGGGCCTTGTGACTGGCGCTGGAGGCAGGGGTATCGGGGATGGAGGCGGCGCGGGAGGTTGAGGTCTGTTGGTAGGGGGAGCCGGCGGCTGAGGTCTGTTAGTCGGAGGAGCCGGCGGCTGAGGTCTGCTGGTGGGAGGAGCCGGTGGCTGAGGTCTGTTGGTTGGAGGAGCCGGTGGCAGTGGTCTGACAGTAGGGGGTGCCGGTGGCAGTGGTTTGACAGTAGGGGGAGCCGGTGGACTGACAGTCGGCGGGGCCGGCGTCGCGCCGCTCCCAGTCGGTCTGCCGAAGCCGGTGAAGATGCCGGAGACGGCGGAGCAGAGCAGGCGGGGCACGCAGCGGCGCCGGTCCAGCCTGTTGACGTTCTGCAGAAAGCTGATGCCGTCCTGGAGGTACGGGTCCCTGGCGGAGAGAGAGAGAGGGGCGAACGGTAGAGAGCGGGAGCCGGCCAGCGGAGCCGAGAGCTCAGAGCTGTCGGCGGTAAATACCAAAGAGACCTACCGGTATGAGCTTCAATAGATACATGATAACTGTTAAAGCCGATCGGCTCCCGTTAAAGAAAAAACAAGGCGATATCAGACCACGGCTAATCAGGAAGCGCCGACCTAAGCAGCGTCTGCGCACTCACGCCGGTCCGTCGCCGAAGAGCAGCGAGTTGAGGAAGCGTCCCTGGGTGTCCGGAGGAGGGTCTGCCAGAGAGCGGCCGACTGAGTGCTCGGGGGGACGCAGGGCGGCCTTCTGCTGCTGGCGGACCACCTCCACCAGGAGCTGCCGGACCTCTGCGGACAGAGAGACAGGCTGACAGACAGACAGACAGACAGACAGACAGACAGACAGACAGACAGACAGACAGACAGACAGACAGACAGACAGACAGGCCGACAGACAGACAGACAGACAGACAGACAGACAGACAGACAGACAGACAGACAGACAGAGACAGACCACCTCCACCAGAAGCTGCCGGACCTCTGCGGACAGAGAGACTGGCTGACAGACTGACAGACAGACAGACAGACAGACGGACGGACGGACGGACGGACGGACGGACGGACGGACGGACGGATATGTCCAGACAGACAGACAGACAGACAGACAGACAGACAGACAGACAGACAGACAGACAGACAGACAGACAGACAGACAGACAGACAGACAGACAGACGGACGGACGGACGGACGGACGGATATGTCCAGACAGACAGACAGACAGACAGACAGACAGACAGACAGACAGACAGACAGACAGACAGACAGACAGACAGACAGACAGACAGACAGACAGACAGACAGACCAACCGACTGACCGACCGAGCGACCGACTGAACACACAAACAGATAGACCGAATGACAGAGACAGGCAAACAGGGCATTATGCAAATGTTGAAAATTGAAATGTAATACATACGACCACATTAAACCTTCTTTTTCTTGCAACATATATGTACCTAAGTAAGAAATAAATGAATGTTTTGAATAAAAATATTCAAACCGAACTCATATACATGAAGTGAAGCAGCGCCTTCTCGTTGCTGCATGCATTGCGAGACTCCGTGTCGTTTACTCCCGGGGCAGTAGGTATTATCATTTCTCTTTTAGTGGTTGCAGGCTCCGTTGGGACAGGTCATTATTCGCTAGATCGCGTGCACCGCCAGTGAGGTGTGCATTGTGCACCCCAAGAGCAGACACGGAGCAACAAGGACGAGTTTCTGCCAATATTGAACAGTAACGCTAACATTTGTGCCGCTTCAGCGCTAACTGCTATATTTTTAGCTTGTCATCCACTATCCAGTAAGGCCGAGCTGGTTTTTTATTGCCATGGGACCGCTGTTATCCATTCACTTACTAATCGGCTCATAAGCATACGCTTTATTAGGAAGGTCAAAACATTAGCGATATACCGTGCCATTAATCCAGCTCGCAGCACTGGTGCATCTGTATTCTGCAGGGTCTGTGCGCTCCTACAGGGACTATCAGACGGTAGGTATCAGCGGTGAATACGGGGTGCCATACGTCGTCGGGGGTCTCTCTGAAACAGCAACATTTATCGTATGCATATCTGCATCTTGCATAGAGCAGCACGTCCGTGTTGCAGCCGCCGACATTGACACGGTGACTTGGCAGTACCGCCGGGTGGGACGTGGTGACGGCCTTCCCGTGATGGTCGAATTCAACCACCCTCCTGTGGCGGCAAACCCGACCGGCGACCGCTCTAATCGCAGTTTATTGGCCGCCACGACCTCAGATGCAGTCATTTGTATATATTGAGACGGGTTACACAATACACAGCACATTGGGTGGACGCGTTTCGTCTAAAGGCGGAAACAGACTCTTTCCGCATTCAGGAAATCGCATGCGATTGATGCGAGCGTGCTTCCATGTATTTGAATAGGCTCTCGCATGCGATTTCCTGACTGCGGAAAGAGTCTGTTTCAGGCTTAAATGACTTTTTCGACACCCTCTCGGAGATTAAAACAATACAAACACACAAGAAATGTGTGTTTGTATTGCCATTTCTTGTGTGTTTGTATTGTTTTAATTTCCGAGAGGGTGTCGAAAAAGTCATTTAGACGAAACGAGTCCACCCAATGTGCTGTGTAACCCGTCTCAATATATATATTTGTCTATTACTACCCAAGCAGTCATTTGTTTTATCATGCTGGCCTAATGCATCAGTCGCCGCGAATCGAGACTTGCCGAACCGAGGGTCTTGGCCCTGAGACCTCTGAGCATAGATATAAAGACGCCATGAGGCATCAATTCGTACACAGGTGTCTTTAGTTCGCAACTATGTGCACAGCAGGCCCACCAGATATGGCGTACAAAAAAAAACGCTATCCCGGATCGAAACCATTAGCACGACTTTAGCACGGATGTTATACTGGCATACAGTAAGGCTCTGCACAATCGGCTAAAAGCCATGAGTAACCAACGCCGCTGTGGGCATAGGTGAAGAAACCTTATGGTTATGCATGGCTGCACAACAAACTTTGACAGTCCGCAGGATAAAGCTGTTGCATCACTTCAGCATGGACCCGATCGTATGCGTCATGCAGCTCACAGCTGAGCCGGTTGTTTGTGGAGGCATGTGAAACGTTCTGGCCACGGAGAATGACGGTCATAATTCCCGGAGTAACTGGATTCTTGAACAAGATTTATTTTGCCGGACGGGAAGCGAAAAATTAGGGTGATGATTTCCAATTTTAGGGCGCCCGGACTTCAGCGGACATCGGCGCAACGAGAAATAAGGATCGTAGGTAAATGGTAAAATTACTAATATAGAGGACGTCGAGTAAGTAGGTTTCAGGGTGGTGAAGAGCGACTGAGAGCGGCGTCAGGAGGCGGGACAAAAAAAAGGACGAGTTGGCAAGCGAAACATGTTCAATGAAAAATGTCGGGCAACGTTGACGTGTGCTTTTGAATGTATTCATGCTTAAATATCTGACAGGCGCTACATCCCGTCATTGAGCCAGTCGCCTGCCGACAGGAAAGTCTTGGCTGACTGAAGGCGTTGACTGAAGGAGCTAGCCAGCCAGCGCGGCGGTAAATCCGATCCGGTCATTGTCGCGAGTAAATGGCGACCATTTTTGGAAATCAATTGCACCACTCTCGAGCTACAGTCTCATAGTCGTAAAGGTCACGTTTTGAGTGCCAAGTTGACCAATCCAACCGCCTTCAGATGGGGGAAAGAAAAAAGAGCTTCTCGGTAACATGGTTGCAAGAATTTAATCTGATTAGGTACTCAATACGCTTACGTAAGGCAGATGCATGGCCACGAGATGCGGATTGAGGCGGAAATCCAGCTTAACATTAGAACTGGGTCATAGTTGTGGCGGGGTTTCTACCGGAGCTCGGCTTGAGCCACGCTCGTCAGCCGGAAGCCCAGCTCGCCGCTGCAGCTGACTACCATCACTATCCACCCTCCACCACCGTGTAGGGTGCGTTAATAGCCGTGCAAGGCCGGAGATGTTGCGCCAACATGCATTGTCGGCGGCGTCGCCCCCTTGCGCCGGCTGCCTTATCCAGCGAGGGACCTGCGCCAACAAACGAGGTCACCTCTCCCACGCCGTCCCACTCTGCCATTGCACTGTGTCTCTGGCACTCGCGCCCGGCGTGGTGCAACTGCCGTCGATAACCGATCGAGACCGGCCGGGTGGCGGCCCTGGGCACCCGGTCCGGAGATCCTGGTCGGGGACGTGCGTCGTCGGCCCGACCGCGCCGCAGCTCGGGAAGCTTCGATATATTCGCCGCGATTTGTCACCTCACACACACAGCCGCCGCGGCCGTTGCAAAACGCGTGTCCACCCTTCAGGTTGCGCCACGGCACGGCCGCTGGCACCGATGGCCCTGTGAGGCCGGGCTGGTTTCCGGAATGTCCATTCTGGTGTAGCGGAGGAGGAGGAGGTCCACAATCCACGCTCTCCATCCAGTCGTTATCCACATTCCACCGTCGAGCGTCACCGTTCACAGCCCAATTTCCACCGCATATACCGCGGTATACGCGTTATAACCTTTACGTTAGGCCATTTGTCCACCGTCCACCGTCCACCACCTTCCGTCCACCGTCCACCGTCCACTGTCCACCGTCCACCGTCCACGGTCCGCCCACCACCGTCCACCGTCCACCGTCCACTACCTTCCGTCCACCGTCCGCCGTCCGCCGTCCGCCGTTCATATACCCTCCACGGTTCCACCATCCCATGAAAGTCCCTGCCGGTTTGCCACAGCCTCTGTGGGCGCCGCGCCGCCAGCCGCTTGTCAAGTGGGTCAGATCGGATATGCGTTTATGCCGCCCCCGAGAGTCGCGTCACACAGGGACCGGGGGACCGGTATGTGACCACTGGGGACCGGGTTTTGGGGGCCACTGGGGGACCGGTGGGACCGGTGTGTGACCACTGGGGGATCGGTGGGGGACCGGTGGGGGACCACTGGGGGATCGGTGGGGGACCGGTGGAGGACCGATGGGGGATCACTGGGGGACCACAGGGGGACCGGTGGGACCGGTGGGGAACTGATGGGGGACCGGTGGGACCGGTGGAGGACCGGTGGGGGGACCGGTGGGACCGGTATGTGACCAATATGTCACCGCTCCATCTGTGTCGTCGCCAGTGCCGGCCTTGGAGAGGTCGTGCTCGCTCCCGGATCGGGCCAACCGGACGGTGAAGGGCGCCTGCGGGATGTGCAAATGTTGCGCAGGTCCGGAGTGAGCCGTCCGCCCGTCAGCAGGTCGACTGCGCGAGCGAAACCAGTACCGGCTGCTGCAAGGTCGCGCAGGGTGGGCCCAGAGGACAATGCATAGTTATTGACTGATGCGGGATTATATGTAGGACTGTTTAGCCTATTGATTGGCAGATAGGTTTGTCGTATGCTTCGAAACATTGCTTGGGACACACTTTGAAAAATATGAGAATGGTGTTCAACTTTGCAGAATACATATAGGAAGTAGCAGCCGCAGTGGCCTATAGTGGCAGCCGCAGCACAGCAAAGCGAGCATGCTAACAGCAGGCATCTAATTGATTCACCGTGTCCGTCGTGGGGCTGCACCAAACAATAACCCTGTTCAATCAGAACGACACGTGTAGTCGCGTCTGCACAGATGCGCTGACCGTGTGGGCTCCGGGGTCCTTGCACCGCGAGCGGAGAGGCATAATGCAACATGCATGTGCACAGAGCGAGCTGCCTCTGTAACTGGTGGGGACCGCTCTCGTTTCGCCCTATATGGTACCCATTTGACCTGCGGCCACGGTGTTGCACGATCATTTCGTTACAAATTGCAAGG